GCTGCCAGGGGGACGGCGGTTGGTTCAGTGAAGGTAGTCTTGATGGGAAGAGGGAAGGGGATGTTTGCGGCTGGTAGGCTTATAGGCGCCACTGCTTGTGGCGTAGTTAGATTGGGTATTCCATCCACCGAGAGGGGGATGGTGAACTGCCCAACACACACCACGGGAACTTGGGGCTGTTCCCCGGTGGTGTTTGTCTCTGTGCCGCGTCCGGCGTTGCTGGATGAGGCCATGAGTATTGAGTTTTTCAAAGAAGAAGAAAAGGGTATGAAAGTTTTGGAGGGAGGCCTTTTGAAGCGTTCCCACAGACGGTGCCAATTGATGATGCACAATCTGGCCTGTCTTGGCTGTCAACGATCTTGCCTCTGAACTGAGTAACGGGGACCTGAAACGGAAGGAGAAGAGAAACTCCGGGGAGAACCCGGAGTAGGAGCCTTTTATAACCACCTCGCGCACTCACTTTCAGGCTTCCGTCAGATCGGGCATGATTACTTCTGAACCCCTGCCAGTTTGGATGTCATTTCCTCTGGCCGGACAGAACCGCCACTGCTCCTTTTGTCGGAGCCGTCTCTGCGGCTAGTGACGACGGTTGCAGGTAGCGGTAGCAGGAGGCCGTTTGAAGTGCGGCTGTCAGGTGTCGGATCCCAAATCAGTCAGGTGCGCCGCCCTTGGATACGGACGTCCTTGGTGTCGAGTACGTTTGGTCAGCCTGGTGTTTCGGAAGCGAAGTGTTGGAGTGGCGAGCAAGGTGTCTTGAGTTCGGTTTGGAGGGTTCCGAGCTGCCATGGGCCAGCTCAGGTTAGCTTTTGTGAGGCTTTGGGCCCAGTATAGTTCATGCTCCTTGCAGGGAGCTCGGGTTCTCAGTAGGGAGCTTGCTCTCGGACTCCCAGTAGGGAGCTTGCTCTTAATAGGGAGTTCGGACTCAGTAGGGAGCTCGGGCTCCCAGTAGGGAGCTCGGGCTCCCAGTAGGGAGCTCGGGTTCTTATTTAGGGAGCTCGGACCCTTAACAGGGAGCTCGCTCTTAACAGGGAGCTCGGGCTCCTAATAGGGAGCTCGGACTCTTGGTAGGGAGCTCGGACTCAGTAGAGCGGTCTGGAGTTCGGGCTCGCTAGTGAGCTTGGACTTGCTTCCGATATTCGCTTCGGGCGCTCTACTGTCCCGAGTTGCTTGCCTTTGCCACGTGTCGGGCGATTGCAAGGTCGGGCCAAATTTCCCTTCATCAGTATACATTTCCACTGTTTCCAATTCTGTCTCCGTTAACTGATTCGTCTACATCTCCGACTCCATTTCCGAATCAGTGTTCATCTCCGACTCCGTTAAATGACGATATTACCTTTTTCACCATCTTTATCAAGCCAGGTGGTTTCTATAAATCGTCGTTACTTGACCTTTATTTTCTTTTTCAGGTTTTTGAAATTCTTTTTCGTTTTCTTTAGTTTAAACGAGTAGAAGAGAAAAAAAAACTGATAATCGATTGAGATTTGGGGAAAGACCAGTTGTAGGAGAAGAAATAAAGGAACGCGAGCTCTGCAACCATCCGGCCAGGATGTTTTGCGCTGGCGAGTTACCCTAATCTAGGTTCAGCATTGATTTTCCACACTTCCCTTTTAAATGCCACTTAGCAATCAGATTTGATTGGGGTTGGGTGACATTTTCTCAACCTGATTTTTATATAGATTAGGCCAGGTTGAAATTACACGGAAACATCTATATTTCCTTGGATAGCAACCAGATCCTACTGAGTTGCAAAAGTTGCAGGCTATGGAGAGACATCTGAGCAAATGTGTTGATGACAGGAAGGTTGGTGATTGGAAAAGTGCATTAAGGGAAGGCAATGCGACCATTGGTGTTGGAGCAGAGTCTTCTCCTCAAGTAAAACCTAGGCAACATTTTTGGTTTTTTTTGTTAGTACTATTGTTCCAAATAAGAAAATTAGATGGATTGAAATTGGTTTGAAATGAAATTTACAGCTTTTTGCATGCAGAGCAGAGGCCTTTTGAAACTCCAGCAACTTGAGGATGCAAACTCTGGACCATATAAAATACCTAAATTTGAAGTGTCTACACCGAGTTCACATCGTCTGCATGCGGGTTGCAGAAAAATTTCTGCAACCATAAAAAAATGCCACGTCATTCCATCTTATTAATCACAGCTTAACGGAGTCCAAACGATTAACGGGAGTCTGGACTCCAAAAAAAAATTTGAAGTCTATTAATCCCGCCTTCATTCTCCCCTCAATCGTTTTCACTTCCCAGTTCCCACCTCTCTCTCTCCATTCTCCAACCCAACACTGCCGTCCGATCCATCGCAACCAGCAGCGGCTGACGACGAGCAATGTTTCTCTCTCTTCCCTGTTATTTCTCTCTCTCTTGAGATTCTCTCTCTCCCCCTCCGTTCTCCTTCAGCCGCCACCCGAACCAGTACAACAAAGATCGCTTTAGATAACGCTTTTGTTTAATCCCATTACAGAATTGCTAGAAAGTTGATCATGTGTTGGATTCAAGTATGAGAGAAATTTCTTAGTGGCACAATCCTTTTGGCTCCATGCTTGCCTAGGTAGAAATTCAAGTTGAAAACCTCGAGCAGAGCAATTTATATAACAAACAGTTGATGGGATCTCTCTTCCACGATCCATCAAAAGCTTATTTGGCAAGCAAAAACTCCTTGACAGGAAATTTTTTTTCAGGTAGCAATACAACTGAGATAGTAAAGATTGAAACAAGATGGATTTTAGCAAAAACAAGTTCTCAACCCCAATCACCTTAGAGATCAACCAATGCAAGCTGCTAGCATTCATTGATCAGAATAGGAGTGAGTTACCTGGTGAGATTCCACATAAGATTAGAGGTATACGAATCTTGGATCAACTGAATCTATTGAGGAATACGAAAAATCATTTTGCAGGGAGCATCCCTGTGTATATCTTTGCAGTGGCGGCACTAGATGGAAGGTTGGGTTGCCGATTCCAAGGAAGAGAGAAGAAACAGGAGAGAGACAGAGAGTTCCGAGGGCGCACCAGTAACGGTGGACGCTGGACGGTGATGGGTTGTAAGAACTGAGAGGAGAGAGAAGGCAGGGAGCTAGAGAGCGAAGGAAAGTTAGGGGAGCAGGATTTTCGAGTCCAGACAAACAAGAAAGGGGATTGGGATTTGGGCGGGTTTTACCAACGTCCGTTAAACCTGGACTCCGTTATTCTTGAAACCTATAAGTGACGTGGTGCTTTCGATCTTATGTCTTCTCCGTCCGAGCATATGGCATTGGGAAGGTGAGCTCAAATATATAAAGTTCCATCATCCATGAGAGAAATAGGTAAAGGGTCTTGGGGTGAGTGAGGATGGATGATTGATGTATTGCAGGTTTGAGAATGCAGTTACAGCTGCTGCTGAGATTTGCATTCTCATACATCCATTTCAACAATAAGACATCGACGACACTATTGGTGCTGTTAGAACAAAGTGCAGCGATTCCATTCAGATTCAGTGTCCGTTCATGTTTGATTGTGAAATTTTGAATAAGAATAATGGGAATAATGGGTAGAATATTCTTTTTATTCTCTCCATTAACATATTAATGGTAAGGATGATTTAGTCAATTAACAAAAAACTTAAGAATACTTTAAGACAATATATAAACAGGAAGGGTGAAGTTAGTCAATTAACTAAATCATAAGAGTAGTTTAAGAAATTTGCCCTATTAGATATAGATTTACTTTATAAAATTTATAGGTGAGAAACAAAAATATTTTAAATTACATTAGATTACATTTTTTGCTTATATGGTTAAAGAGAGAATTAAATTCATAAATAAAATTATTTTAATAAAAAAAATCCATAAAATTTATTTATTTAATATACCTTAAATATAAGATTTAATGAAAGAAAATCAAACTTAATACTTTAAAATTTAAATATAGGATTTAATGATGAAAAATCTAATAAATTTAATAAAATTAATAGTTTAAATTATATTTTTTCCCTTATTTAAATATAGGGAGACTAAGTTCATATTTTAATTAAAAAAACTCCAAAATCTATATCTCATTCGTGTTATAGGTGATACTTATTGACTGGTTGTAAATTTTTGTGATATGTATTTCCGATATCATAATTGAATCCTTTATTACCAAAATTTTAACGTACAAAAATAAAAACACGTGCACATTTATTAGAAACAGAGAAAAAAAAAAGTTCAAAACCTTAATTATCCTAAACAGATCGTCCCAGTTCCGCCACCAGGTCACCACTATATATTAAAATCTTTTTTTCCCCGCCTCGACGACTCGACTCTCTCTCTCTCTCTCTCCCCGTTTATAACCCGGCCTTAAGCCCGCGAGCGAACGAACGATTTAATCTAATCTGTTGCCCTGCTCACGACTCCATCCCCCTCTTTCACACGCCACCATACCACGCACAAAGCTCTCTCCTCGAATACCCGCCAAAAGGTATATAAACGGTTCATTTGAAAATTCTTCTTTTTCTCTCGTCCAGTCGTCCTGCTCTCTCCTCCTCACCTTCTTAGGGTTTCTGCTTTCTCACCTCTTTCATCAATGGCTCCTTGTTATCTCCCTTGCAGGTTTCTCCTCCGGTTCAGGTCAATTGGAGATCGAATTCGTCAGGGAGAACGGCAATTTCAGGTGGTGGAGTTCGTGTTTCGTCTCCAGCACTGCATACGCCAATTTCAGGCGGTGGAGTTCGTGAAGGGGTTTGAAGGATTTCTTTGGAGATGGATCCTGGGGGAGCGAGGCCGGAGCCCCCGTCAGCTTCCATTGGCGAGAAGAGGCCGACGGAAGTCAGAGATGGAGATTCTGATGATCAGTTGCGGAAGAAGAAGAAAGGGGCTTTGGATGGAGACATGAAGAGGGTTGCGGAGATTGTTCTGGTTCTGTCAGCATTGGGGAAGACGAGAGGCGGGAGGAGTCCCACAGCCGTGGAGAAAGGTTTGATGGTGGAGGCTCGGGAGAAGTTGGTGGAGATGTGCGAAGTACTGGCTCCTAGGGACCTTCTTTCGAGTAGTGCCGTCAGAGCCGTTATTGAGGATCTTGGGCTCAATAGGTCCAGAGATCAAAAGTTAGGGTTTCGTCCTCCAAAAATGTCTATTTCCGAGAAGTTGTTGCTTACGAAGAGAAAGGTGGGGTTTGGAACTTCTGCTGTAAAGCTAGTTGTTTTGTTGATTTTTTTTTAGACTTGTGTCCTCATTTTGCATTCCTTATTGACTGTGGTTTTTGTAGAAATTCGACTGTTCTTCTCTTTCTTTCCAAGATCTATTATTGGTTATAGAATTTTCTCCCCAAAGCAACATTAAGTATTACGAATGTTAGAATAATAACTAAACTATGAGGAACCCGGATCTCCTGCAGGCAAAAATGTTGCACACATAGCGTCCAGTCGCACATTGGGAATATCTCCCATCCATGTGTGTTAAATTCATGGCGAGATGTTCCCAATGTGGGCCTGGATTCCCATACTTTCACTACAGAGCTTTTTCTTGTAGAGAATCCCGTTGCAAGTATGAGAAGCAAGATTGCTTGGATGCTGTTTGGTGCAAGCAGGTGTTTGGATGAGATATAGTTGCGATGCTTCCAGACGGTTAATCAACCAAAGACATAGTTGGTCTCATTCAAAACTTACTTCAAATGGAAAATGGTTTCTTTCCAATTTCTTGTGAACTTGGTGCGTGCCTTGTGATTTTTGTCCTCTATGCAGGCCAGGGGTGCTTTTCTGTTATATGTCAAGGCATCCTATCTAGTGCCTAATGCCTAGGTGACACCTTGACTACTATGATCTGATATATATATATATATATATATTTTGCAGCCAAAGCTAATAGGCATGCCTCTGAGTTTATATTGGCTTCGATGTGCTTGAGGGATAGTCCTTCGAGGCTAGCTGCTGGTGCATCTGTATTTGATTTCTTAAGTGTAAATATGCTGATTTAGAATCAACTTAGGACCTTTTTCAATCTTTGCCTGTGTTTATGCTGTGCTTCTTTTTGATGACAATAAATCTCTTTGGTCTCATTTCAAATGGCTGGGTAAATGGATCCAGTTCTGTGGCAGACTGGCAGCAGGGATTTGATAAAAGAAATCAAATCAATGTTCAGGGCCAAATGGGTGAACATTATCTGCCAATGCAATGGCAGATGCATTGGGAAAACAGGGGGATAATAGAGAGCACTATTTTATTTTTGGGAACTTCTGGGGTCTTCCTGATGTAACAAATACCAAGTCATGTCTGTAGGTCAGGCAGCCTTGCTGGTCTGAATCTTCTCTGTAATTGTAATTCTTTTTATACATATCAGTAAAGCTTAAAGTTACCAAGCAAAAAAAAAAAAAAGCTCTTTGATCTCACTATCAATAAAACCATCATCATTGTTTTATTTGCATGCTTATTTTACATGTGAAGTGTATGTGTGTTACACTTTTTGGTTAGTGAATTCTCTAGATCGTTTATTCTCCAAAATTATTGCTTTCCAACTTGAGTTCATGGTTTTCTAAACCTGGTTTATTCGATGTGCAATCAACTTATTTTTAATTTTTGATGTATGAAGTTATGAATTGAAGTCATCTTTTGAAAGTTTGCCTATAAAATTGATTACTAGATGGGGTTTTGTGTTGGATCACTCTAATCTAGGGGTTAAAACATCCTTGATATATTTAATGTTATCATATTCAGTTGGATGTGCTGCTATTGCTTGGTCTTCATATGCATCCATAATCAGCACAGTGTCTTCATTCACTGGAGCATTTATTTCTCTTCTAAAGGATTTCTTTTTTTCTATACTCATCTGGGTTCTGGATAGGACGTTTGAATATGGAAATGCCTTAGTCTCCATGCTTCAGGCACCTCTTTCTATATACGTAAGTCATGCTTTTGTTGAGCCGTTAGTTCATTTTGGTTTGATATTCTTTCTTGCAATCTTTCTACAGATGAGAGAATCCAAGGAATTCACTGCACAACCTGCAACATATTCATTGCCATTGTTGCAAGTGGGCTTTGGTGCAACAACAGAAAGTCGTGGTTCACTATTACAGGCTGGTCATAGATTTCCACCGGAAAAACCAATTCATACACCAGTGACTGCAGGAGCCTTTCAATCTGTTTCATCTACAATTCATGTTTCTAATCCATCTTCTACATCCTCATCGAATCAATTGTCAGTCTGTGAAAAGGGTTCTTCTTCTCTAGCATTGCCTCGAGTTGGAGCAGCACATTTCCAACTAGATGAAAGATCAAATGGGTCAGGTTATGAATCCCAAGGTGCAGACTCTCTCTCTCTCTCTCTCTCTCCCTCCCTCCCTCCCCGGGGCAGGGTGTGGTAAAGTATGACAACCATTCTCGTGGTGACCAGAACATGGAATAGAGGTGGAGAGTGGAATGGAATAATTGGAGCTGTCAAATAGAAATTGATACATTTTGTGTTACATCATTTCATGTGATTGTATATTTTCCAGAATTTTATTCCATGCATGTGATTGTATCTCAGAATATAAATCATTAGATGAATCCTGTGTCCTGATAAATTGCATGAAACTTTTTCATGGCTTAATGCATTATGTTTGGTGGATAAGTTGAGATTAAGCTCCAGTATTTACTGTTTCACTCTCAGAGGTTATGCTGTGAAGTTAATACTGTAAGACTTTTTTTTTTCTTCGAGTCAGTTTATGCTGTTAGACTTTGTGTTTTCTTTTCCTTCTTTTTTGCCTGACCAAAAGTTTATCCTGTTTCATTTGCCATCTTTTGCCACATAATTTTATCTGCATGTACTTTCACTTTTTTATGAAATACTTTCATTTGAGCTTTTAATATATCTATTCTGTTTGCATGCAGCAAATCCTCCTGTTGACCACTCCTTGGACAAACCTCAAACATTCTCCTTGCAGCCCCAACCAGTAGCAGTAGCTAAACTGGGTCAAACAAAAGTGCCTAATCATTCTCCTATTAGAACTGAGGAAACTTCTCATGTTGGTAACACTTCAAGTGCTTTTCAAGCAGTAAAAGATCAAATTCGTAAACCTTATGTAATTCAAGCTGCATCTGGAAATCTGCCAAGTGTATTCCAACCTTCAGTTGGTATGAATTTTATGCAAACTTCATCACTTCACAGTAACCATAGTGACATTGCAAGGAATGTTCAGAAGTTTTTGCAACCAAGGGCTCCTGAGCACCCTAATTGGATTCCTCCTTCAATAGATTACATGAACAAGACATTGACTTGCCAAGTGTGCAAGGTTACCATCAGTGATTTGGAAAACTTACTTGTTTGTGATGCTTGTGAGAAAGGAATCCACTTAAAATGCCTTCAGTCATACAGTCTAAAGGGCATTCCTAAGGGTGAGTGGCACTGCCCTAGGTGTTTGATGTCAAACAATGGGAAACCTTTGCCCCCTAAGTATGGTCGTGTAATAAGAAGTATAAATGCAGCAAAGGTGTCTTCAACCACCACTGGGGCTCAGTTTTCTTTAGAGAAAGTGGAAAGTTCAGACCAAAAGATAAATCACCAGAAAGTTACTAATGGAAACTTGAGTTTACTGAATCCTGCTCATGTTGGTGATACAGAGAATGACCATATTGAATCAGCATTTGATTTGAAAACAATAATTGAAAGAGAAGCACAAGGGGCTAACATCACAGTGAACAGAACAAAACATGATTCTTGCCAAACTATGTCAAGTGAAACTACAGGGGCAATTCATGTTCTTTGTTCCAACATTCCAAATCAAAGTTCTATCCAACCTACTCAACATAGTGGATCACCTCAATGTGACACACAGAAACTATCTGGTGCAGATATTGATTCCTCTCATGGTTTACAGGCATTATGCAATTCAAAGGATGCTAGCAAAACTGGGCCACTGAACTATGCTGAAGTTTGTGAAAATCAATGTCATGTTAACAACCACTTCTTGAAAGAGAACGAGATTTCTGGTTTAAGAGAGACTTCTGAATGCAAGGCAAGCTGTAATATCAGGGGAGATGCTCAAGATGTTGCTGAGACAAGAATTGGGACATTGACCGTTGGGGGTGGAGCCAGAGATTGCACTAGGTCTTCACTAAATGGCTTGCATAGCGTAGATTGGATTGGTAATATACTTCAAGTGGTAGATGATAAGGCATTTTATCAGTCATGTTGCATTAATGGAATTGTGTACAAGCTGCAGGATCATGCACTTTTTCTTTCTAGTAATGACAGTCTGAGACCTTCAAAGCTTCAGGTATGCTATTACAAAACTTTGATTAATTGATTCCTTTAGGAGAGGTGGTCTCTAGACCAAAATCCCCATTTACCTACCGACATTGTCCTTAATGCTTTCCATAGTGTTGAAAGTGCCAAATCTTTTGTTTGTGGAAATAACTTCTTTCCTCTTGCAACATGGGAAAAAATTGTTGGTTTAATGTTCTTCATGTCTTCTGTTAGGCTTTGCCTTTATTATAATGGGAAATCTGATGCTCTATTGCAGTCACTATGGGAGGATACCAGAACCAGGTCAAAGTGGGCTGCTGTGAACCTATGCTACTTGCCAAGTGACCTGCCGGAGGTTGTTGGACAACCATGTACCCCTGAGGTTAATGAGGTAGAGATTTTGAAATTTCTTTTGTATTTGGATGCTACTTGTTAGATTTCTATCCTTGTGTACCTTGTAAACTTAATCAACTGATCAAAGACATGACTGAATGATGAGATGGATTCTCTCTTTTTTTGGCTATCATCTTTCTGCATGTCTTGTACATATTTTTTCATATAATTTCCTTGCTAAACTGTTGCAGGTCTATGAATCTAACCATGACAGCACTGTAATGGCTGGCTTAATTCAAGGCCCATGCGATGTGCTTCCTTCAAACAAGTTTAAGGAAGAAGTTGAAAGACGGAAGCATTTAGAAAATGGGGCACATGATGGGTTACAACGAGTTTTCCTATGCAAGTATGCCTCCCAACTAACTACATTATATTGCACATCATTTGTGGTTACTCAGTTATTGCTTTTGCACAAATTACCACAGTCTATACATAGGTTTGTTATGCCTGACTTACTTGATGTTTAGTCTTTAGATACAGTGGTTTAATAGCTCGTGCTTTGGATGGTATGGCTGCTCTTACTATTTTCATATATGCTTGTATCTCCTGTAATATTCTTTCTGAGAGAATCTAATATGCATACATATGCACGTAGACATATGGAAGGAAGTTTGCTAGTTGGGCCTTTCATTGATCTTCCACAAAAAGTCAAGAATTCTTCCTCGTGCCATATTAGTTGGGAGCCCAAAGCGCCCCATATGTTGGTTTGGGTGCCTATATTCATGGAGCAAGTTTTCAGCATAAAATCATTTGCAGTGTGTCCACAATAAGCCCTTTTTTGGAAAACTTTTAGATTATAAACCCAAAATTTTGAACAGAAAATGTTTGTTGAAAAAATTACTAATACATGGTGGAGTACAAGGCTGATTTGGAATGGGGGATTGAAGGGCTGTTTGATAATGGCTGAAGTGGCTGAAATGAATGACTTATTAGTTGTTACTTGCCTTTTAGTGAATAAGTCAATTAAGTACGTTGTGACCTCCTTGGTGGCTGAATGGAATATTGCGTTGATTACTAAACCCTTAACATTTTATTTATATAACTATTATAGCAACTAAGAAACACAGCATTAAGTCATTCAGCCTTTATGAAACTGCTTGCCTAGCCAATGTAAAAAAAAAAATTCCTGAATGTGGTGGATGATTTGAATCTGCCACGTTGTTCTCCCTAGTGACAGAACTAAGGTTTATTGTGTAGGAAGTTTCCCACTTGACCCAACTAGTGAACCTTTATATATTTGTAACTTGGATGAGTTGGCTCTTACCATTATTTTGTGTGTTCTATGTGTATGTATCCTAAAGTTCGTAACTTGCTTTCTGAGACGAGCATGGTTTTTGCAGATGGTTTTATGATGAACCAAAAGGACTTTTCCGGGCTGTTACGGATCAATCTCAGTGATGTTCATTTTGTTTTATGCTGTTTTGTCAGGCTTTCAAGGCCAAACAATTCTTAGACGCTTCATGTAATCAGGTCTGTTTCTTTCTTGTGGTTACCCTTTTATCTTGTTTTCTTTAACGGGATATCTTCTGGTTATTTCTCTAGTGTGTCAGGATGTAAATTGCTAAACCACTTGGTGGTCCTTTAATTTTCACATAATACTTGTGAAATTGGACTTGAGCAAATGGACATGGTTAGAAAATCAACCTGATTAATCGACAGCCATTGGAGACCTACAATCATACAATCTGTTAACATTTGTTTAATTTTTTTCTTATATTTTGGGGAAGGAGGGGACTGGAGGCCCGGGGATCCAAATATCCAATGAATCAGAATCACGCTATGACTTTTGCGTATGGCATGTATTTCCCACTTACGATCAATTGTAAAGGCATGACTTGATGTATTCGTTGTGAAAGCAGCAAAAGGTAATGCCATCTTAGTTTTCTATTTCATTACCCTCTGTTTTTCAGTGATTTTATTTGTATTCCTTTCTGAGAAAGTGTGTTTGTATCACAATCAGGCATTTAACTACTAGACCTTTCGACAATCTACATCAACTTTGAACTGTAAAGGACCTGCGACCTGCGTGAAGCCATGTTTTGTACAATTTATAGCTCGAGTCCCGTTTGTATTGATTTCCTTTGGGCTCAGTTTGGAAGGAGTACAGTACAGTGCAAAGCCTTATTTTGTATGTATTTATACCGTACATATTTGTATTTGTACTCTTTCCAATCTGAGCCTTATCCTTTTCTTTTTCTTTTTCTTTTTGTGGCCTCTGAATTATTAATTTATTTAATTAAAATTCTAAACTATCGAAGGGGATGTCCTTGGGCTTTTCAACTTAGATGTTTTTTTGTTACTTTTCAGCTTAAACATTTTGCTTTGATTTTGAATGGTTGTGTAAACTGCTGTAGCGTGATTCGGTTGCTCTCTGTTGGAAGGCAGATCCGGTGTCAGATTGCTACGTGATCAAGTTGAACTTCAAGACAAGTAGAATCAGAGGTCCAGGGGTACTTCACCCGGTTTGAGCACTCTGATAATTAAGTTAGCTTGGGAGATTTGAGAGAGTTGATAGCTTGTAATGGTAGCAAATGAGAGTTTAATCACGTGTACCATGTGAGGCTAGAGGTGATGCCTTTATATAGGCGAGCTACCGTAGGCTTCATGAAATGTGTTTGAGATCATCGTCCTGTCTACTCCGGAGTCCGTTTCGCACTCGAAGATGTTTACTGTGTAAGCTGATAAGGCTTATCCAGGTCCATCTGATTTGAGCCGGATAGAGGCAAGACTCATTGACATATGGCGTGATTCTGAGAAGATCGGAGACAACTGTCTCACTTCTAGAAGGAGGTTGTGTGGCACCTCATCAAGTCGATGGGTGTGGTAAATTGCTCAGACCCCAATACTAGGTAAGTGACTTGAGGTGCTTGAGGTGACTTAGATTATTGAGGCGTCCAAGGATGCTAAGGTGTCACCAAGTCGATGGGTCGTTCTACATGTCATTGGTTGGGCCAAATTATCCCTCATCAATTGCCCTCCACTCCCAAGCCTGAGGTAATTGACTTTGGGCGGGAGTTTTCAACGAGCTGAATGGATTTGACCCGATCTTTGGTTCAGTCAAGGTCCAACAAACAGGTTAGACTGAAATAACCCAATTGGTTCGACCTTATGGGGCGAGGTTGCGTTTCAGGTACGCATAGATGTCACGCGATCCATCGATTCCACGGACGTCAAAAATACGTTAAACCGAATTTGTCCTCGGAATACGAATAGTCGCACCCTTGGGAGCTGTCGGATCTATTTGATTTGGACGATTCGCAATCAGTTAAGGCGGTTATAAATAGGGCCCTTGGGACCCATTTTTCTTCGTCCCATTTTGAGCTCTCGTGTATTCGGAGGTTATGGAGCTTGCTGTCATTGGTGTCATTAGGTCAGTCGGTGAGGTTGGTTTTTCCTTCTCTTCGGTGAGTCTTCTTCCCTTGCTCGTTTCCTTTCCATTTGCTTTCAATGTCTGGCAGTGAGTCTAGTGGAGAGAGAGACTAATCCGGTATGGACGAGAAGGGGGCCTCGGTCCGAGACTGATGGAGTTCCCACAAAAGGGCCTCATCTTCCTGTCGGCCATCTAGGCCTAGGGAGCCAGACCACTTTAGTCATACCCAGATATCTGCTGAGGAGATTTGCAATTTGACGACTCAGTATAGATTCCCCAACCATTACGGTTATTCCCTTCCCATTGGTAGCTTTCCATGGGAACACGAAGAGAATGAGGTAGTCGTCTTTGAGAAGGCTTTGAAGGCAAGTCTTCGGTTTCCACTTCACCCATTTAGTCCCGAGGCGTTGAAATACTATGACATCACGCTTGATCAATTGCACCAAAACTCTGTTTGTACCCTGGTCGATACGATTTCTCTTTTCTTCCACCTTGGCTTTACACTTGACGTCAAGACCTTTTCAGCCCTCTACCAAATAAAACAAAATATTGTCAACTCCTTGGGCAAGTTTAGTTATTATTTGTCTTACCAGCTAGGGTATCTGTGTGTCGTGGTGACTAGGCATAGTATGGGATATAACCCGAATTGCCTATGTGCCTATTGGGCATAATATGAGATGTTACTGAACCGCTTATATGTCGAAACAACTAGGCTTTATCGAAATGCTGAGGTTGTTACCAGATTGGCATAGGGAGCCTTTAGGCTTAAAGTGACTTGGCGTCCCCTTTGAAATGTAATTTAGTCAGTGTGCGCTCTACGCAGGGTGGGTCGACGAGGTCGCCGAGGTGAGTGGTCTTCCATACTTGGTGAAATTTTTTAACATGTGGTTGAAGTCACGAATGCTTGACTCTCGAGCTCACAAGTAATACTTTCTTAGGTTGTCCACATTCCAGGCACAGGGCACCTGCCTCCCTTCCAACGTCTCGAGCTCGTATGTCCCTTCACCGATCACCCGTAGTACTCTGTAGGGACCTTCCTAGTTCGGGCCCAACTTACCTACATTGGGCTCAGGCACCATAACCTTTCGAAGTATAAGTCGCCAAGTCAGAAGTGGCATCTCTTGATTCGGACACTATAGCACTAAGCTACTCGTTGTTGGTAAGCCGCAATCCGAATGTAGGCTAGGTCACGCACTTCCTCCACCAAGTAAAGGTTTGTCCGTAGCTCTTCGTACGCCTCTAGCTGCAGGGTCGGTACTTTGATCTCAGCAGGGATGACGGCCTCCGTACCGTATGTCAGGTCGAATGGGGTCTCTTCGGTCGCCATTTTAATTGTAGTTCGGTAGGCCCAAAGGACACTAGGTAACTCGTCTACCCACAAACCCTTAGCTCGAGAAAGTCGAGCTTTGGGTCTGGGAAGGATCGCCCTGTTCGTTACCTCAGCCTGTCTGTTTGCCTATGGATGAGCCACTGAAGTGAAGTTCTGTTGGATCCCCATCTCGGCAAACCAATTTTGGAACTTAATGTCCTCGAACTGCTTTCCGTTGTCGAATATCAACACCTTCGGGAGTCTAAATCTACATACTATGTTCCTCCAAAAGAAGTTCTGTACATTCTGAGCTGTGATTGTCACCAGTAGCTCAACCTCCACCCATTTCGTGAAATAATCAACCGCCACGACCAAGAACCTTCTCCCTACTGGGTGAAGGGCCACAGGCTGGTCAGGTACTTGAGGTCGGCAATGGGCTGGTGGGGTATGTTAGTGTGCCTCTAGTAGTTGTCTTATTTTCGAACGAGCTCGAGTGCATCCATCTTCATCGTAGGCCAGTAGTAGCTTTGCCTTAACGCCTTTTGGGCGAACACCCCCCCAGGTGTCCTCCACAAAGACCTTCATGGATCTCATGTAGCACCTAGCTTGCCTCTGAAGGTCACAAGCAGCACAAGTAGGGGAGCATGAAGGATCTCTTGTACAACTGTTCACCAATAATGACGTAGTGAGCTAATTAACGCTCTACCATTCGAACTGCATTGCGATCCATTGGTAGGGTCCTGTAGAGCAAGATAATCAACAAGCGGGTCCACCTAGCTCAACTCTGCTACCAACATAGGACCGACCTCTTCTGCCACCCTCTTGATGCTAGGTCATGGTAGGTCTTCAACGTAGACCGTCCTCCGTGTGACGTTGGTTGCGATGGAAAGCATTGAAAGCGCATCAGCCTCTACGTTTTCTGTCATCGGTATTTGTTGGATATACCAGGAGTGGAAGTCGGCAGGAGCTCCCTCACGAGGCGGGCTCCTGGGCCTCGTAATGCCCATTCACCTGGTTCCCAACCAGTTGAGAGTCACTATACACCATGACGTGCTTTGCGCCGACCTCCCTCACCAAAGTCAACCCGACTATCAGTGCCTCGTACTTTGCTTCGTTGTTCGATGCCTTGAACACAAATCGGAGAGTATACTCCAGTTTCACCTTGCTATGCCCATAAAGTATCATCCCAGCTCCGCTTCCTCATTGGTTATATGAGCCATCACGTTGGTTGACGTCTTTGACGTGTTAACTAGCTCAGCCACCCTAGGGGTCTACGTGTTGAATGTACACTCGGCGATAAAGTCTGCCAAGACCTGCACTTTAATTGTTAGGCATGGCTCGAATCGGAGGTTGTATTTGCTCAGCTCGATAGCCCACTTCGTCAGCCATCCTGAGACCTTGGGCTTCTAAAGGACATGCCTCAAACACTGATCAGTTAGGACTATGATAGTATGGGCTTGAAAGTAAGGATGTAGCTTCTGAGCTTCCAATACTAAGGCAAAAGCCAACTTTTCGATGTCGGGGTACCTGGTCTCAGTTGGGTGCAAAACCTTACTGATGTAGTAAATAGGTCACTACACCCTGTCTATTTCTCTAACTAGTATTGAGATCACTACCTTGTCACTCGTGGAGAGGTAGAGAGTTAGCTCGTCTCCGCGTTCAAGTCGGATTAACATCGGGGGTAAACTGAGGTACCTTTTGAGCTTGTCGAACGCGACCTGGCACTCTTTGGTCCACTCAAAATCTTTGTTCCTTTTAATTGCCTTAAAAAGTGGTAAACAATACCCAACTTAGACATAATTGGTTTAGGGTGGCAATTCGCCCTGTTAATTTTTGTACTTCTTTTATTGACCTAGGTGGTCTCATGTCTAGAATTGCTTGGATTTTGTCTTGGTTGGCTTCGATGCCACATCGGTGCACTATGTAGCCAAGGAATTTGCCGAACGTGACCCTAAAAACATACTTATTCGGGTTGAGCTTCATGTTAAATTTTCTTAGAATTTGAAAAGCAACACTTAAATCATCCACAAGATATTTTGAAAATTGGGTCTTAATGAACATGTCATCAACATAACATTCAATTTTATTACCAATCAATATTGCAAAAACTTTATTTACAAGTTGTTGGAAAGTTGCTCTAGTGTTTTTCAGTCCAAAAGGCATAACTTTATAACAATATGGCCCTAGCTTGGTTACAAAGGTTGTTTTCTCCTGATCGTCTAAGTCCATCCGGATCCGATTGTAGTCGGAGTAGGCGTCCATGAAGCTCAATAACTCGTGCCCTGAGGTTGCGTCTATCAAGCGGTCTGTTCTGGGGAGTGAGAAACTATCCTTTGGACAGGTTCTATTGAGGTTGGTGTAATCGACACACATGTGCCACTTACCGTCGGCTTTTCTCACGAGCCCAGGGTTGGCTACCCAGCTCAAGTACTAGACCTCTCTAACGAAGTCTACTACAAGGAGCTTCCTGATCTCCT